AGAAAAAAAGCAAYAAGAGCCAAAGACTCTTTCTTCTCTGCCACTCCAGAGTGAGTTGCCAGCCCTGTGCCTGACACTCTCAAGGGCACTTTGTGCCAACATAAGGCTCATCGAAGGCTCTTCATCGATATGACGCAGTACAGGGGCCCATGCTTCTCCTGGCCTCCTTCAGCCCTGATGTCCCCACCCTCATTGCTGGGTGCCTCCCAAAAGCCCCRTGTGGGAAGCTAGCGGGACTTGTGTGAGGTGGGGCCTGGAGAGGGCCTGGGCCTGGGGGTGCCCTTGAAGGGGGAGGCTGAGCACGGGCCCCTTCCTCCTGCTCTTCTTGCTTCTGGTCGTGAGCTGAGCTGCTTGCTCCACTACACACTGCCGCTCCGCGTGCTGCCTGGCCAGTGCCTCTGAGCAACGCGACACCCACCCCCTAGACCAGAACCTACAAATCTGTGAGCCCAAACGAATCTCCTCTCCTTGTAGGTGCACKGCCTCTGGTATGTTGTTATAGTAAAGGGAAGCTGATGAGTACAAGGAGCACAGCAGTTGGGTGAGACCATCTGGATTCGCAGTTTCCTTGCACCTGGACCAGCTTGTGCACCCTTGGCAGGGGTGGCACCAAAGGGTGCTGGGTTCTCATTCATCTAGTTACATAGCACTGGGTTTGAGTCTGACCCATCTCTGGTGCTGACCAGGCTTTGGCCGCCTGGTGAGGATGTGTTGGACAGGCCTCTCCCCAGTGGGGAGCACCCTTGGAGCCCTGCACYCTCTCTCTGCCCTCAGTGTGGAACCAGTTCTCACATCAGGTGGGCTTCTGGTCCCTGTTCTGCCCAGTGGGTTTCCACTCATTCTGCCTCTTTAGTCAGCTGGCTCCCTGCTGTGACCGAAAGGCTGGCAAGAACAGTTGAGGAGGAAAAGTTATTTGGGCTCGGAATTTCAGAGGTCTCAGTCCACAGACGCTGACTCCATGCTCTGGGTCCGAGTGAGGCAGCACGTCATGGTGGAGGGTGTGGGGGAGGAAGGCAGCTCAGCACTTGGCAGCCAGGAAGCAGAGACAGAGAGAGAGCCCCACTGACCAAGGACAAAATATACACCCCAAGGCACGCCTCCAGGACCCCCACCCCCAGCCAGACCCCACCTGCCTGTGGTCACCACCCAGCTACTCCCTGTCAGGGAGCAGTGCACTGCTTAGGTAAGGCCCTCCTGACCCAGGCTCTGCCCCTCTGAACCKCCTCACCCCGCCTCACGCCTGGGCTTTGGGGACGCCTCACATCTGAACCACAGCACTGCCATTGCTTGCTGTGATGCTCAGGCGGCCCCAGACTTGGCCAGTGAGGAGCGCTTCCCTCCTTTGGACATGGCCTCTCACTCTGAGGGCTTCTCTGCCTGCGCTCAGCTTGTCCCCTCCCTGCCCCAATCTGGCATCAGCCCTTTCCTGTGAAAGGCTTGTGTGCCAGCTGTTTCCTGGAGGCCTTCATTCCCCAAAGCCTGCTGATGGGCAAAGCCAGGCCTCTGGCCCCCAGGCCAGGGTCCCTTCCCAGTGTCGATGCCCTCCCTCTGGTGGCCTGACAGCCCTCTGCAGGCTGCGGCCCCTCTTGACCCTCACCCTCACCTGCCTCATCCACCCTGTGCAGAACCTGGTGTGTCCACAGCCCTCCTCCAGCACGCAGCCTGCCTTTACCCAGACCTAACAGGTCTGGTCCGTGCCACGGGACAGGGGGGAGAAGTGTAGGCAGGTGTGCACACAGCTGGGTTCTGGAACCCGGGCTGCTGCTGGCTTGTGGTGGTTCCTGCAGAGAGCGCCTGTGCACATACACGTGCGTGCCCATGCCCCAGCTTTGCACACACACACTCCACCACACACACTTCTGTGTGCAACTTATTCCCTCCCTCACATCACACATGCTCACCAATGTGCCCCTGTCACACACGGTGGCATACGTGCTGTTCTGCCCCTTCTTTTCTTCTTTTGGTATATTCAAGAATCCTTCCCCTTTTAGCACACAGCAGACTGACTTTTTAAAATTCTGTCTGGAATAGCATTGTCTGATTTCAGTAATTTTTAGACAGTCATATACTGGTAGAGTTAGAGTACGTTGATCCTTTGCTATTAGAACCCTTATTGTAACACTTATTTCTTTCTTTTCTTTTTTTTTTTTTTTCCGAGGGGGTACTGGGAATTGAACTCAGGGGTACTCAGCCACTGAGCCACGTCCCCAGCTCTAATTTGTATTTTATTCAGAGACAGGGTCTCACCACTTCCAGAATGTTCCCTACAGAACATTTTAGCGCCTCACTTTTGCCGAGGCTGGCTTTGAACTCATGATTCTCCTGCCTCAGCCTCCCGAGCTGCTAGGATCTCAGGTGTGCGCCACCGCCCCTGGCATAACACGTGTTTCTTTATATGCATTGTTTTGCACCTGTGAGGTACTTGTTAGAGCATGATCTGTGAGATGAGGGTGTGTGACTTTGGCTCCCTGGAAGATGTAGTTTCTTTCACCAGCCCCATGTGAGCACACCTGTTTCCCACCCTTCAGGTTCTGCCAACGTGATAGAACAAAAAAAGAACCTCAGTGTGACCTGGACCTGTGGGTCTCTGGTTATGCTCTTGGAGCCTCCGCGCCTCTGTTTCCACCACTCCCTGTGTGTACCTGAAGGCTGTCGGTGAGCAGCCTGTGAGGAAGAGTGGCGGAGCTTGGCGCCCACTGGCTGCTCCAGCTCCCAGGACCCCCCACGGTCAGCCGTCAGGGCACTTTGTACCTTGCAGTTCAGGTGAGATCTTTACTCGGGATTCTTGCATTTCCATGTTTTTTGAAGAAATTAGCCCTTGGTCTGAAGCATGAGCTGTCGGCGTTTTTCTYATCTTTAATTTCTGTACGGATTTGTTTGTTTGTTTTTTTGTGGAGTTGGGGATAGAACCCAGAGCCTGTGCATGCAAGGCAAGCACTCTGCCAACTGAGCCATATCCCCAGCCCTAAAAAATTTGGAGTTGTCCAATCTCTCCTGGGAGGAGTTGGTTTCAGCCATGATTTCTTCTTGGCCAGCCAACCCTGGAGGTTTGGTGCTCAATCTGAAAGGGCTGGTGCAGCTGCATCTCCTGAGCTAGGAGCACTGGTGTACCCCTCTGAGATGCCCACCGCATCAGAGTGGCATCGACCCAGAAGAATCTCGGGTCCTTGGGAGCCTGAAGTAGGAGGATAGCAAGTTCTTGGCCAGTSTCTCAATTTGTGAAACCCTGTCCCAAAACAGAAAGGACTAAGGGTGCAGCTAGTGGTAGAGCACCCTGGGTTCAAGCCCCAGTACCAAAAATGAAATCAGATCTAACGTATTTGTAAGGTCACTAGCTCATCTCCCACTGTCTTTACTGTCTTTTTTGAGGAGGTTTTCACTGTTACAATTCTTTGTAACGAGGAATTGCAGGTTTTCATTCCTCCCAGGAAGTCTCCTCTTAGGAACATGAGCACTGGGTCACAGGATCTGGGGTGAAACTTCAGGGAGCGACAGAGATCTGCCTTTTCCTCACTGGCATGGGACTCTTGGGTTCTTTATTTGTTTGTTTGTTTTTTGGTTTTGTCTCAAGACAGGGTCTCCCTGAGTTGCCCACCTGGCCTGAGAACTCAGGATACTCCTGCCTCAGCCTCCAGAGTAGCTGGGGTCACAGGCAGGCACCGCCACATCCATCTGGCATATGATGTTGTAAAAATGATGTGTTCCTCCTCATTCAGAGATGACAGACTTGAAGAAACAAGAGGCCCCTGGCCTCCCACCTCTGTCTGTTCAGGGCTATAATGGTGGTTACTTTAAAGATTTAGTGTATAGCCATTACAGTTATTTCTAGTGTGTGTGTGTGTGTGTGTGTGTGTGTGTGTGAAAACGGTCCTGTCACCTGCACCCCATGGGAATGCAGACTGGGACTCTCTTCTCAGCCAGCCTGTGTGGTGGACTGTGCTCCATGAGCCCCAGAGAGCTCCGTGTTCTTCTGGGCTTGCACCCTTTTCCAGTATGATTGGGCTAGCACTTACTCCACCAGCCCTTTGCTGAATTTGTCCTATGGAATTAGCTCTGTGMAGTTTATGAGAATATCTGTAGGGAACATTCTGGAAGTGGAGTTGTTGGGGCAAAGGTGAATGAACACTTGAAATTCTGAAAAGTATTTTCACGTTCCCCCTCCCCAGGTCATGTTAACTTACACCCCCAGCTCTGTGTGGGGCTGTTTTCTCACAGGCACACRAGGTCTCCCTGTTGTAGCTGATCCTGTTGTCACAGGGGCTTAATACCTTTTTAAATGCCTGACAACTGTTGTGTTTCTTCACCAAGAGTGAAACAGGACCATCTTGTCTTTTCAGTGTGATTGTAGATCGTAGCTTTGTTAGACATCTTCCTTTTCAGGAGCTCTGGGCAGGCAGACTGCTGGTCTTCCTGTTGGGCTATGCTTAGGAAGACTGCACCTATTTATGATTTATGATCCCCAGGAGCATAGAAACAGGCTGCTCTGTTTTATTTTAGTCTTTAGTCGTTGCAGTTTGTTTTTGTGAATAGTATAAAGTAGGACATCACTTTATTTTTCTTCTGGAGAGCTGACATGCCCCACCTTGTTTTTGAACAGTTCATGTTCTTCTCCATAATGTAAAATGCTGTCAAATGGTAAATTATTCACTGGGAGCCTATGTAAACAGAGACTGTGGAACTCTACTTTTGAGCAGATGTCAAAATTATTTGGTGAAATATTTACTGAAACTAGAAATCATTATATGCCAGAGAAATACAACTAAAAACACAGTAAGAATGTAAAATGGAAGGACTTTTGAGCTGTACATTTATTTTGCTATCAGTGGATAAACACAGATGCCTCAGCAGACTCGTGTGCTCTGTGGTGTGTGTGAATCTTGCTCATACGCAGGTGAAGTGCAGCAGGGCCACCTGCGCCTCGTGTGAGAGCTGTAGCTTTGTGCCAGTTTTCCAGACTGTCCCTGTCCCCTGGCCCTCAGGCTCTTCTCGCCTCTCCGCAGCCCAAGTGTGTYGGCCAGCTCTTGCTGATGCAGGTGTGGAAGCGCTTGAACCTGATTGAGTGCGACTACTTCGGGTTGGAGTTTCAGAACGTCCAGTCCCAATGGGTATGTGCTTTTGATTTGCTTTTGGAAACAGGCTRTGACTGTGTGACAGGATGTTTATGACGTACTCAGTGCCATAGAGCCTTTGGAACCTTCTGTAAGGATGAAGGCAAGCTATTGGATTATTGGAACATTATTTTTATCAGAGCTGTGCTATTAAAGTGCTTTATCTTTAGCCATAAAGAGCATGTCCGGCTTTAACGAACCTGAATTCACACCTCCCTAAACCCACTCTGCTTACAGCACTGTGTGCCAAGTTACACAGCAGCCTTGGATGCATCTGCCTAGTAAACATTTTGAAAGTGAATTTTGAACAAATTGAACTGGTTCTGCCTTGTTTTACTTAAGAGACAAAACCTTAAACAGTGTGATCCTCCAGTGTTCTTAGATGCGACCGTCATAAAGAGACCCACATCAACCTCTCCGTTCAGGAAGCTTGTTGTCGGCTTCTAGCTCTGGGTCTGGCCCTCAGCTGTCCCTGCACGGCTGTGTTTGCCCGAGGGTCTCTGCTCTGGTGCCACAGAGGGCCTGTCTCATGCGGTGGCCCTCTGGGGGTTGTGGTCYGTGAATGCGATGTGGTGTTGACCACATCCCCGAGGTGATCACTGGTGCCTGTCCTGAGCACAGTGACTGAGTGCTGGGCTCAGGAGAGATGACTAGTGTGACKGCAGTTTAGTGTCCCCCCGCTCTTGAAGCAGGCATTGCTGAGCTTCCCATGGTTTGTCGAGATTTGGTTTCTATAAAAAGGGAGTAGAGTCAAAATATCTCTGTTATAAAAATTTCTCTTAATCATAAGTATTTTTGTATTTTATAGCAAGATACAAAATACACTTATTAAATAGGAAAATCATTAATCGAGTTTTTCTCTTTTGTTAAATTCTCTTTAGATTTGGCTTGAACCTATGAAACCCATCATTAGGCAAGTACGAAGTAAGTCCTTTGTGTAACTCTCATAAGACTGTGGTCACCAGATGCCCTGTTATAGAATGCTGAGGCTCCAGGTGTGTCCACACACTTGTGTCACTCCACGGCAGATGAGCTTAGAAGCWCTTTGCTCTTGATTCCAGCTGTAGAGGAGAGGTGGGTGGGATGACACATCTGTCTCAGGTGGTCCTGGGTGACCACCTCACATTGGAAGTTATAGGATATATTGTTTGGTATCTTAAATTTTGGCTAATATGTAAAACAGTAAGCATGTACTTTGTACACAGGCTGTGAAAATGCACTATGGTGCCTCTCTTAGGTAGCTTGCTTGCTTGCTTACTTATTTTGGTGTGCTGGGGATTGAACCCAGGGCTTCTTGCAGGTCAGGCAAGAGCTCTACCACTGAGCCACATCCCCAGCCCATAGGTAGCATTTTGATAAAATGTTAATACTGTTCCATAATGATAAATGTAATTGTAATTGTGAGCATAATTGTTTTTGTTAGTTTCCTTATTAAATTTAAAWATGAAGGCATACAGTAATAGTCCTCAGTTCTTATATATATCATATACGATAAAGTCTCTAATTTTCTGAATCACCATAACTATTTTTTTCTGGTWCAAAGTTGAAGACAAGAGGATGTGTGAAAGTAACTTTGTCCTGCACAGATGAGCTAAGGCTGTTTAGGTTCCCTAGTGTCTTAGCAAATGGCTCCTCCTTATTATATTGTGTACATGTRCAAACATACAACCATACATCCAACCACATGTGCAGCTAGCTACAACACACCAGTAGGCACATGTGGAGGAGAAATCTGGTGTGTGCAGTCACAGACAGTGCCCGAGACTTGGCGACAGTGGTCGGTGACGGCCGCCGRGTGAAAGAGCAGCTGCTCTTGTGGTGGAAATCGCATGGCTGTTTTACTATTAAATTTCTGTGGCACAAAGACATTCAGTTCAGCTATATCTTATGCCTTTTCCTTACAAAAATCAGTTCTAGTTCAGTGTAGTAAGTGGTAGTAACATTTTCTTTCATTAATATATATAAGGATTTCAAAAAAATTTTTTTACTACTGCATTAAAATGGTATTAACACTTGAACTTCATCATTTTTATCCTAAAATGTAAACAGGGATTTAAAAAAAAAWTTTTAATGATGTTGGGGATTGAACAACACACCTACCCAGGAATATATTCCACAATTTAATGGGCAGTTTCCAAAGATTTATAAAATAATCTCTGCTTAGGGAAATAAAAGATTTTAAATTTCTCTTCAGTATGTGTGATTGGTGCTTAGGATTCATACTCATGCACAGGAAATGCTTTAATACCATCCTACCAGAGGAGAAAATGCTTAACAGCCCAGCCCATTTTAAAGCACTCACCCAATTACACAGTAATATATGGAAAGAGAATTAATACAAAAATCAGCTTTTGTGAAATCTAAAAGTTTCTTTTTATAGGACCAAAGAATGCAGTGCTTCGCCTAGCTGTGAAATTCTTCCCACCTGATCCTGGTCAGTTGCAAGAAGAATATACAAGGTGAAGAGCTCACTCTGCACTGGAGCTGCGGCCCCCGGGGTCCTGTATTTATTTCTCTACCATGAATGATCAAGAATGGATGAGTTAGTGCACACATAAAAACAGAAAGTGAAGAGTAGTTAAAGCAGCGCTGTGACAGTGACTCATGCACAGACCTGGATGTACAGCAGGCTTAGAAGGAAGGTCGCAGGGGGAACTTGAGAAGGAAGGCTGGAGGGCATGAACCAGAGCCCCGTGGGCTAGGGAGCAGCTCAGTCTGGGAGGCCTTGCAGATGCATGGAGCAGAAGCGTCAGGCCGTTTCTTTTGTGCTGCTCCCTGTAATTCAAGGTGGCTCTTTTGCAGAAATGATTGAAAGACAGTGTGAATAGTAGTCATCTGGTCAGTGAGGAGATGGCAACTCCTTTCTTGTGCTTTTTTTTTTTTTTTTTTTTTTCCTCCACTGTATGTTAAAAAAAGAGAGAGCGGAGAGAGCAAGAACTAAAGCAGGACCTAAAAGCCAGCTTGAAGCCCCAGGTCAGCTGCAGGTCACAGAGGACGGGGTCCTTGTCATAGCAGCAGCAGAGCGCCTCTCTGCCCTGAGTCCCGGCTGGACCCACAGCATCTCAGAAACTCTGAAAGGTTTCTTGAGGTCATGTTGACATCTGGGAATCGGGACGGTCACAGCGAGGAGAGGGAGAGAGCTCTTGCCCTCCGCCTCTGTTTTGAGGTTGAGGAGACCCCACTGCAGGGCTATGGAGTGCCTCTGTGAGTGAACAGAGTGTAGCTGGCAGCCTGTTGAGTCTCTGGAGGGACTCGCTCTGAAATAGGTCTCCTAACAGTTGTTGGTAACAGGAAGTGCTCTCTAAGTGAGAGCCCTGGCCTCAACCTTAGCAGTCAGACCCGGAGTCAGTTTGACCTTTGCTTCCCTTGGCCTCATTTCTAAGCAGTCAGTCCTTTTTTTATTTATTAAAAAGTACATGGTTTTGACAAAAGGAAAACTTTTCCACGTCACAGTATGTAGAATAAAAAGCCAAAGTTCTCTGTCCTGCTCACAGAGCCCACTCTCCAGGTAAGTACCAGAGCTTGGCAGGAGTCTTCCTGACGCGTGGCAGGACCCGGGGAGTGCCGTCTCACACCGCAGACCTGGCAGCGGGCAGCCGCGGCCGGCCTTCCCCTGAGCCCCCAGGCTGCACCTGGATTCACTCAGTCATTCTCATATTCCAGTTTTTCTCTGACGAAATGCTGCAAAGAGCTGTCATTTTTGAACTCCAAGAATATTACTCTAGAAAAATTTTGTAGGAGCGGAACTACTGAGTTTAAAAGGCAGCAAATTGTAAATTGCAAGAGAATGTAGGAAATTTTAATGGCTTGCACTGTTTGCATGGTGAATTCCAGGGAGGGGAGGGAATTAGTGTTCACCATTGCATTCGAGCTCTGAGACCAGGACCTGGAACTTAACACATGCTCAGTCATTACCCACAAGTGAATATGGAAATCTTTTCAAACTGCTTTCTCTGTTCACATTATCATCAGTTGTATTTCATAGTGCTTGTTTCTCAGATGCTGGCTGAGACACATATTATCAGTCTATTAAATATTTTCCCAGTCATAGTTTTAAGCTGTGTCTTAATTGTATATTTCTGGTATTTCACCCAAGACTGTGAGTACAGTTTTATACCATGAGTCTGTGGACGTCCTAGCTGGAGGCATTGCTGCACACAGTGTGGTTGTGGGTCTGTGGTGTGCCTGGAGGGCATGGTTCCTTTTGGACATGGCTTTGCCTGTGTGCTCAGCACTTTCTGTGTGTCCTCTGAGCTGTGTTCAGTCTACTGAACCCATCTGTCATCTGACCTTTGGTTGGGGCCACCTGTTGCCATAAGGCCTTTTGTGACCTGTTTCCTGGGGGCCCTGCATTTTGCTCCCTGCTGGTTACTGCTGCTTCTGGGGCCTCTTTGCTTTCCTGCCGTCAGAGGACATTTGGAGCTGACCTCTCTGGTCTTGAATTCCCTTCTAGGTACTTGTTTGCCTTGCAACTCAAGAGAGACCTCCAGGAAGAGCGCCTGGCCTGCACTGCCACCACAGCGGCCCTGCTCACAGCCCACCTCCTGCAGGGTCAGTGCCCCTGACTGCCCAYCCCCGCAGCTGTGCCGGCCAGGTCTTAGGCCCCGCACTCAGGACGAGCCACGGTCAGCTGCTGCTGCACATGCACGATCACCTCAAAGAATGACKGCTTCACCTTGGTTTCATTCTGTTTTTTTCTTATTTGTTTGCAGTGCTGAGGAATTTGTGTTCACCATTGGCCTCCCCTGGGCTAGGCAAGCGCTACACCACTGAGATATATCTTCAGGCCTCTTTTATTTTTTAATTTTCAGACAGAGTCTAGCTAAATTGCCACCTGACCCAGCCTTCTGAGTCACATTCTTTTTTTTTTTTTTTAGTGGTAAATGGGCACAATATCTTTATTTATTCATTTATTTTTATGTAGTGCTAAGGATCAAATCAGCGCCTCACATGTGCCCAGGCAAGTGCTCTACCACTGAGCTACAGCCCCAGCCCATGAGTCTCATTCTCGGTGGCCAAGGGTCACCTTCTGTGAAGACATCCTAACAGATGTCTCCACCTCGAGGCTGGAGGCYGAACTCTGCAGCCACAGTCCTTCTTGAGTCTCCTCTCACCTGTGGCTTTGTGCATTTTAACAGTGTGCCTTCAGTCTAGATCTAGACCATCAAYCAGCTTCTCAGCACACCCAGAGAGGGGCCTCCTGGGAGCCAGCCACAGTCCTCTGGGAGGAGGGAAGCATTAATGGTGGAGGAGAAAGCAGGCCTTTCCACAGTGTCCCCTACCAGCAAGAGATAGGCAAGGTGTGTGAAGGGTGGTGGGTCCCTTAGCAGTGGGAAGAGGTCCTGAGAAGCAGACATGTGCCACAAGGCCCCAGAGCCACCTGTCAGCTGGAGAGGGCGTGCCCATGCTGCTGCCCACTGGAGCACCGCCGCCTCACACACGCCTGTCTCTGAGCTGTGAGTGCAGGACGGTTGGCATGTATGGCTGCAAGAACTGTGGGGTCAGTAAGTGAGGGGCTATCTGCAGTCCCCGCCCTTCCTCAGGCACACATGCCCTGCTGGGGCTGGCCGTCCTATACGGACTCCACCACACASTCTCAAAGGGAATCTCAAACTGAGTCTGAGTTTTTCACTGGGGCCGGAAACCCTGTTTGACAGGCAGCACTTGGGTGGTTCCTCCTGGCTGCTGGCTAGAAGCACTTGTAGAGGGCTCTGTGTGGTCTGGCTGGGCTGCCAACATCAACAGTGGCCCACTGCAGTTTTCCCAGGGGTGCTGCCTTGTAGCAGGGTGCTCTGAACCAGGGCTGCTGCTGTAGAGACGGGGCAAGCTGTGCTCTGTGAGCCGGGCCTGCACTTAGGAGAGGCAGCTAGCTGACACTCTGGCCGCACTGTGCTGTGAGTCAGAATGTCCCCACTGGCATCGTGGATGGGCACAGTGTGGGTGGTTCACTCTCCATTGGCTCCAGGTAGGCAGTTGGTGCTGTGCTCGCAACCATCCTGTGAATTCAGGATTGTTTTAGAACATTTCAGAAGCATGTATTGCTTGAAATGATTGAATGTAATACTGCACCCAAAAACATTTATGGGGGCTGGGGATGTGGCTCAAGTGGTAGCGCATTYGCGTGGCATGCGTGGGGCACTGGGTTCGATCCTCAGCACCATATAAAAAAAAAGATGTTGTATCCACGAAAACTAAAAAATAAATACTTTAAAAAAAAAAAAAACATTTATGGCCTTAAAGTAACATGAAATCACAGACATTATTTCTTAGGAAATTTGAGAAGCCCTTCAGGAAAAAGTGATTTAAAATACATCATCTTGAAACAAATAACATACATTAACCTGGTCACACTGGCCATGAGACAGTTTACTTATGAAGTGTGGTGTAAAAAATAGTGAGCACACAGACTCGGGGCTCATGATCAGCCTCTTTGAAACCCTTCACCAATCTTTGCTCTTTAAGAGTCAGGAAAAATTCCTTCCACCTGCCCTCTTAGTTGGACAACATAAAATATTTGGAAAACTAAGGTACCGATTTTGTTTTTTTAGGAATATATCATTTTGCCAGGCAAAATGGCACACGCCTGTGGTCCCAATGACTCAGAATGCTGAGATGGGAGAATGGCAAGTTGGAGGGCTGCCTGAGCAGCTTAGCAAGACCTTGTCTCAAAAAAAGACCTGGGGCTGGGGCTGGGGCTCAGTGGCAGAGCGCTTGCCTAGCATGTGTGAGGCACTGGTTCGATCCTCAGCACTGCATGTGAATAAATGAATAAAATAAAGGTCCATCAACAACTAAAATAAAATTTAAAAAAAAAAAAGAACTGGGGATGTACCTCAGTGGTAAAGCATCTCTGGGTTCAATCCCCAATACCAGGGGGAAAAAACAGGAATATATTATCTTACTACAGACTTAGGGTGGGTTTTCTTACTGTTGGTTTGTGCATGTGCACGTACAAATGCTTGTCTGTTACTTTATTTCATAATCTGAACAACTGACTTCCATCGTCTCGTCTCAGCGGAAATAGGAGATTACGATGAGACCCTGGATCGAGAACACCTCAAGGACCACGAGTACTTGCCTAGCCAGGAGTGCTGTCTCGAGAAGATCCTGGACTTCCATCGGAGGCACATGTAAGTGCCTTGTCACTGCAGTCACGGTTGCTGGCACGTAACCAGAAGGGGTCCTTGTTCAGGCTTCTGTGGGATTCTAAAGGAATGACACCTGTTGCTTCCCAGCCTCAGGACACATAGTGGCCCCAGGGTGGCTCTGCTGACACAGGTCACAGCTAGACTGGGTTCAGACACAGACCCTGCTGATTCAGGGTGAGGACCCCAGGGCTTGTATAGGAGGCTGGCAAGTAGAGACTCTGTTGATTGGGACTTCTGCTTCCTAGAGGGACCTGGCCAGGGGTGCTGCACCCAGGGCCAGGCAGGGCCCTCCCCCAGGAGCAGCCCCCCAGGGCCAGGCAGGGCCCTCATCCAGGAGCAGCCCCCCAGGGCCAGGTGGGCCCTCCTTCCCCCCCCCCCAGGAGCAGCCCCCCAGGGCCAGGCGGGGCCCTCATCCAGGAGCAGCCCCCCAGGGCCAGGCGGGATCCTCATCCTGAAGCAACTTGTCACTTGTGGCGTGGGACAGAAGGAGCATTTGCGCACATTGCTGGTGGCAGTCATGCCAAAAACCACTCTTTGACCTACTCCAACAGCTTCCTCTTGAGACAGRATGTAGGGCATGTGGAGGGTGCTGAGCGGGAAGGGCCCTGGGGGCTGAGAGCTCTGACTCCTAGTCGTTGTGGGACTTGGCCTAAGGACCCTCCTGCCTTCTGGAAGACTCCTCCTGCCCTCAGGCGAATGTTGCACYGCAGCCTTGGTGACACTGCCCTGCGACCTGGCGGTGGCCTTCACACCCCCTGTGCAGGGTCTGAGTGCCAGGCACTGCTGCAGTCCTCCCTGTCTCAGCACTGCTGGGTCAGTGTGAACAGCTCCCTTGGACTGTGGACCCTGTGAGGTGTTGTGGGTCACATGCCTGTGACCAGTCAGTGGGCRGGGAGACCTTTGGTGTGCCTGGCATTACGGCAGGTTCCAGATCAGAGAAGCACTTCTTTGGGTGAGAATTTGAGTGCACAGCAAGCACAGCCCCAGTGTCCCTGAGCTCGGGTCGCAGGCAGAGCCTGCTTGGCAGTGGGGAGGCCCTCTGAAGGCTGGGCATGCAGCAGTGGAGGCGGCCATCAGGCCCAGCCATAGCCTGGGAGAAAGGGTGAGGGGGGACGGTTCYAGCTTTGACATAGTTAGCATGCCAGCTGATGGAGAAGGCACAGCCRTTGCCATCAGAGAGAGTGCTGTGGCAAGCAGGCCCTGTGCCAGTACTTCACGTGTCCATGGACACCCACATGGTACATCCTGTCCTTGACCCTTTGTCACGGGTGAGAGCTCGCAGAGCCCTGCCCTAGGTACACTGTGCAGGCTGCCTGGGTGTCTTCAGTGCTGGTAGCCCAGTGTCCACTTGCCTTCTCTGACGGCTCTGTTGCCCCGGGTGCCCCGTGGCTTTCCCCCAGCTGATGGCAGGGGAGGTGTCGCTACTGTGAGTTCAGACCCTGAGGCCCTCTCCAAGGGGAGGCCGTCACCCATACAGGACTTACTCCTCCCTGCCGAAAAACACAGAGCAGGGTCTGGAGACCTTGAGGAAGAGTGGATTGGGCACTGTTTAGCCCATCCCAGTGGACAGATGGGTTCAGGATGCTGGGGAGCGTGTTTCAGCACGCAGCACAATTCCTGATGCTGTCCTCAGCAGACATCCCATGGTGCCAGCACCTCTTACCTTGGGGGTCTCCACTGAGCTTCAGCCTCCTTCCCACATCTTCATGCGTTGCCTCTCTGAGGCGGCCTTCAGGGACTCCCACCCTGCTGCACTCTCCCTGGCCTGCAGTTCTGCAGGACCAGCACCACATGACTGAKGCCAGGCTCTGCCACCTGGCAGTAGCCACGCCTTCTGAGACAGGCTGCRGTAACCTGAGTGCCTGGGTGGCGGAACACAGTGCAGTGATTTCCAGGCCCCTCATGCAAGCAGGGTGCCCAGGGTCTCTTGTCAGAGGAATCACTTTTACAACCTCGGGCCTGAAGTGGGCATTCTCTTGCCAGTTCCTGAGATGCCCTACATCACCTTTCCTGTTGTTTCTTGGTAAAGGTCGTAGCGAATCTTCAGTGCTGTGATTTCTTGACCACACCTTCTTAGCCCCAGTTTTCTAGCTTGACTGTAAGTTTTTCAGATCTTCCTGCTCTGCTCTGCCTATCACAGTAAACCTGGCTGAAAGCTGCCAGCAGTGTCCATGCCACCTACCCGTGCTGCCTTGAAACTTCCTCTGCAGATTAATTACTTCATCAACTTTAAATTCAGTCTCACAGAAAATCTCAGGGCATGGACAAAATGTGAACAAGTTCTTAGCTAAAACATAAATGGAATGGCTSTGATCCAGTTTCCAGTGTGTGCCACTCCTGGTCCCAGTTTCTGTTGAGTCTGCTTTACATCACCGTGACCAAAACCCCGCAGCAACTTAGAGGAGGAAAAGTGTACTTAGCTCATGGTTTCAGGTGCTCGGGCGACGGTCAGCCAACGCCATAGCTCTGGCTCGAGGTGAGGCAGAACATCATTATTGGAAGGTGTGGAGGAGGAAACAACTCAAGACTGACAACCAGAAGGAAAAGAGAAACCCAAAGGCACGTCCCCTAGTGACTCCTTTCCCTGCTGCACAGGTACCACCCAGTTAATGCATATCAGTGGATTAACCCACACCTCTCACAGTCACCTAAATTCCAAGTATTCCTGCATTGTGTCACACGTGAGCTTTCAGGGGACACCTCAAATTATAACATTGTTTGCTCAAGTTTTTTTCTTCCCATACCTTTATTTATTTTTATGTGTTGCTGAGGATTGAACCCAGCACCTCACACGTGCYAGGCCAGCACTCTACCACTGATCCACAGCCCCAGCCCAGCTTAAGTTTTAAAGACAGTAGTGAACCTTTGGGGGGCTTTGTAGGCAAGTGGTGAAGCACTTGCCTAGCATGTGTGAGGCACTGGTTTGATCCTCAGCACCACATGAAATAAATAAAACAAAGGCATTATGTCCATCTATAACTAAAAAAATATATATAATAATGTACCTTTGGGCTGGCATTGTGGCTCAGTGGTAGCATGCTCGCCTAGCAAGCGCGAGGCCCTGGGTTCGATCCTCAGCACCACATAAAAACAAAGGTATCGTGTCCAACTACAACTAAAGAATATATTTTTTTAAAAAATAGTATACCTTTATTTTAATCAAAGTAAGTTTCTTACTTTGTCTCAGGATTCTAATGGCTCTTCCTCAACCCACTGGAAATCCTTTATAAGCCTGGACAAGATATCCAGATGGGTTTTTCTTGATGTTACCACATTTCTATTGGATCTTAGAAACTGCGGGAGGGGGTTTTGCAGTTGGCTGTGGATCCGGTTCCTGTGAGAAGTACAGAACTGCATAGTGAAGCATAGTTACGAAACCMCTGGCTCCTCAACCATAGGTGGAGTGGTTGTCCACCTATGCATTGAATGGTGGCACACGCCTCTGATCCCAACAGCTCTGAAGGCTGAGGCAGGGGGATTGCGAGTTCAAGACCAGTGTGGGCAACTTAGCGAGGTCCTGTCTCAAAAGAGCCCGGAGTGTAGCTCAGTGGTAGAATGCCCCTGGGTTCAGTCCCTAGTTCCACAACAAAAGGAAGAGGGGTGGGAAATGTTCCCTGGTGGCTTTGCAGATCATTAGTATTTCCAATTGGTACCTGTTAAAATGCAGTACACTTTGTGCTGGGTTCTCTTCGTGGTGATTGGGGTTTATAAACAGGTAAGGCAGTGGTCAGTGTCCACAGCATAGTCCTGGAACAGAAGTCACAATGGCAGAGAACCCACATAGTCACTTTGTTCCTTGAAGATTCAAAAAGGAAGAGTTGTTAGGTAAGCTCCCACATGTGGGTGCGGGCTGTGGGGTCCCAGGCGCTCCCACATGTGGGCATGGGCTCTTGTGGCTTGCCAATAGTTGTGTCTTCCTTGGCCCCAGCCAAGATGCATGTGAACGTGGCTCTCCTGGAGGCCACTCGCTTCCCCGAGGACCATGTTCAGTGTTTCTTGGTGACATCACCTGCACCTTGGATTGGGCAAAGATGACATTTTGGAAGACTATATGAATAAAGCCAATTGTTTAGAGAATGATTTTTTTTTAAGAGAGAGTGAGAGAGGAGAGAGAGAGAGAATTTTTAATATTTATTTCTTAGTTCTCGGTGGACACAGCATCTTTGTTGGTATGTGGTGCTGAGGATCGAACCCGGGCCGCATGCATGCCAGACGAGCGCGCTACCGCCTGAGCCACATTCCCAGCCCTAGAGMATGATTTTTTAAATACTTTTTTTGTAGTTGTAGATGGACACAATATATTTACTTTTTTTCACRTAGTGCTAAGGATTGAACTCAGTGCCACACACATGCAAGGCAGGTACTCTACCACTGAGCCACAGCCACAGCCTGAGAATGATATTTTTATTCAACTTTGTTACTTGGTCTTTATGGAAGTGTATTGTAGCAGTTAGAAGTGTACATTATGAAAAAACCTTCTTAAAACATGAAATTGGCCTTGATGAGTCAATGGTGTCATCAGTGACCTCTTTTCTGACTTGATTTTGATGGCTGCATGTGGCCTTGTCCCTCCTGCAGCACTCAGTGAACCTGAGGAGCACTCTGCTACTAGGGAGAGGCTTGGTGGGGAGCTCAGTGCTCTGCCTGCGCATCGCCCGTGGGGTGGGTACAGAGGCCGAAGCTGCAGGACCTCCTTGCTGGTTGCTGGTTGGCCTTCGTGTTCTCTGTTTACTGGACGGCTTCTTTCATATGTGTGGCTGTTGCAGAAACCCAGGGTCTCAGTGATGCCATCCAGTGTCCTTCCTTACAGGGGCCAGACGCCTGCTGAGTCGGATTTCCAGGTCCTAGAGATTGCTCGCAAGCTGGAGATGTATGGTATCAGATTCCACACAGCTTCCGACAGGGAGGGGACCAAGATTAACCTGGCAGTGTCGCACATGGGTGTCCTGGTGTTCCAGGTGGGTGGCGGGCACAGGAGGGGCGGGGGCTGAGCGACTGGGGGTGTTTGCTGTGTTGTAGGTGGATCTCTGTGTGTGCCTGAGGGGCCTCCTCCCAGGGTCGCCCACTCCCTTCCCTGCTCCTGTTTATCCTAATGCTGAACCAAAGCTCACCCCTGAGAGTCCCACCCAACCACAGCTCTGGCTCTTTGTGGGCAGCTCTGCCAGGATGCGGTGGCTGGGAACTGGTCGTCTGTGTGCAGAGCACCTGCAGCCCAGGTGGGAAGCAGAGGAGCCGGTGCTGTGCTCCGAGAGAACCAGGGTCTGCTCACAGGAGGCCGAGGGGAAGCACCTCTCTGAAAGTACTCAGGGAGGCCCACAGTGGGGACACAACAGGCCCCCCGGGTTTCAGCCCCCTGGAGTGTGGACCAGAGAGTCCAGGAGCCTGGAAGGAGCTGAGCCATTGGTGCTGGGCCTGCACTGACAGCCACTAGCAAAGAAGCCCTGCTGAGACGGCCCTGAGTGCCTCCGGCCTGCAGACAGGTGCATAGAGCCCTGTGGGCTCCATCTGGCTGCCCTCGAGCGCTTGCACTGGGCCTTCTTCTTCTTTTTTTTTTTTTTTTCTAAGAGAGAGATTTTTTTTTTAATATTTATTTTTTAGTTTTGGGCGGACACAACATCTTTGTTKGTATGTGGTGCTGAGGATGGAACCCGGGCCACACGCATGCCAGGCGAGCGCGCTACCGCTTGAGCCACAGCCCCAGCCCAGCACTGGGCCTTCTTGCTGGTTGCGGGGCTCCCTGCCTGCACCCCCCGCCCTCCCACAGCGTGGCTCCATGGCCTCGTTCTGTCGTGTTCCTTGCCCCACCACTGAGCTGCACTTGCAGCCTTCTATATCTTAAAACAGGCCTCACTAAGTTGCCCAGGCTGATCTCTGCAGTCCTCCTGCCTCAACTTCCCAGATTGTGACAGGTGGCCACCACGCCTGGACGCAGTGTTTTCTGAGGCGTCTGAGAGTCAGTGGCATGCACCCTCGCCCCTTCAGCACRTGCCGCCCTTTGCCCCGGTGCCATGTGCAGCCGTCACTGACACCCTTGGTGCACCTCTGTTCTCCAGGACACCATTGTTTTCCAGTTGGTCAACAAGCGCAGTAGTGTCTATGCTCTGCTCCCTCCAGGACAGGGTCCAGCTGGGACCAGGCATGACGTCTGGCCTCAGCAGCATGGGAGAGCATGTTTTTCTTCTTTGTAACGATGTACTCCCTCTGTTCCCCGCTAGACTTGGGGGTGCCTTACCAGCTGGACCCATGGAACCTCATCCTGCCCTTCAGCATGGGGCGCCGTCAGGTGCCTGGGCCGTCTGTGCTCAGCAGGGGTGTTTCTRGTCCTTCCTCTGTGGCATTGCTGGTTTGTCTCTTTTCCCTGATAAGCAGTCCAGGGAGACCCTTCACGACCACACGGATGTCCAGCCACTCTGGAAGCCCTKGAGTTGCATCACTGAACCAGGCCCTGCCAGAAAGGCCTCAAGCCTGCTCCCCGAGAGCCTGTTGCACTCGGCCCAGCAGCGGGCAGCTGGGGAGAGCCCCTCTGGTAGAGAGGTACTAGCTCACTCAGAACAGTGGAGCTGGCACTGGGAMGGCAAGACAGACGGGCAGAACTCCACCAAGGATAGCCTTCCCCTGTCAGAGCTTGGCAGACGGAACCCTGCTCCCTGCTGTGTGGAGCTGAGAGAAGCAGTCTTCCTTGGGCACAAGTGTGAAATCCATTTTATAGTTTTCATTCTGGCCTTGTTTGTCATCCTGAAATATTGGGAATTAACCCAAGAGGCCGGTTAAATGAATGGTGCACACTCATATTCTGGGTGCGAGGCTGTGGGAAAGCGGGCACGGCACTCTCCACACCCAGCCCCTGGGCAGCCGAGCAGTGGGCGCTGCGGCAGGCTGCAGGAAGGTAGGAGGGGCCGGGGGTGGGGGCGGAGTGCTCGAGTCTCAACTCAGACCTCGTTGGTGTGTCATTATGTCACGTTTTCAGAAAACCGAGTAAGAACGAGCAGGATGCTTTCGGAAGAGCAAGGTGACAAGCAGGTGCTTCCAGATGAAGGACTAGGGATCATGCTGGCAGAGGAGAGTGATAGAGCGGGAGTTGTCACCACCAGGCAGAGTAAAGTCAGGAGAGAGGGAAACAGAAACCCTGAGGTGATGGCAGGCAGGCAGGCAGGCAGGCACCCAGGGAGGCCTCCAGCGGCAGAGCCTCCATGCCCGCCCTGCTCAGAGGTGGCCCCAGGGCCACACACCTGTGATCCTACCTGGGAGGTGAGGCAAGGTGGCCAGTTTGAGGCCTGTGTCATAACAGGAAGGGTTGGGAGTGCAGCTCAGTGGGGAATGCTCACCCGGCGTGTGTGGCGTGTGCCAGGCCCCGGCTCCATCCCAGCAGTGGAGGAAAGAACAGGAAAGGGCTGGGGCGGGGCTCAGTGGTGGAGCACTCGCCTCCCCTCCCACATGGGAGGCACTGCCTTCCATCCTCAGCACCACATGAAAAAGTATTGCATTTATCTATAACTAAAAAAAAAAAATGTATTTTTTAAAAAGTAGAGGAGAGCCCCACCCTGCTGCAGTGCTCCCCCAGTCCCCAGCCCCCGGCCTGCGGGGCGCCCTCTGGGCCTGTCCTGGGCTCTCCCCATGGTGCAGTCTTACAGAGCRTGCCCTGTCCTCTGGCCTTCAGCTGTCTGTCATGCTCTTTGCAGCTGAAGGTGAAGGTGTTGCTGTCTCTGAAGGGTCCACTCCTCATCCCACCGCCTTCCCCCATAGTTGCAGGAAGGCTAACTGGTGTTAGTGTAGAAACTAGAGTGTTGGCAAAGTGTCCTTGTTGGTTTTTGTTAGATCTTGCTTTGGGACCTTTCAAGTTCATTGAAAAGCTTGACAGTGGCACAGAGAGCTCTGGCTAGATAAATACTTTCTGGACAGATTCTTTGAGACTCAATAAATATCTACCCCACATATGCTCCTGGTGGCCTTGGGCTGGCTCTGGTGTCACGAGGACATGTGCCACTGTCCTCACACACCACCCTGCAGGCTCACTCTGCTCTCTGGCTGTTGCTGGCTCGCCCTCTGGAGCCGTCTCGAAGCTGCACACTTGTATACCTGCTCACATGTCTGAGGATGAGGACACCAGGCGTCCCCTTGGCTCCTGTTCCATTTCAGGCCTGGCCCTTCAGGCTTTCCTCAGCTCAGCCAAGAAGCCCGAGCACCCTGTCCCCTGTCATGTTAGCACTGATTGGTGAAATTGTCATGAAGCCTCATCCAGGAAGTCAGGTTGTCTTCTTGACACAGAAGAGTCAGTGTGTGCGCAGTTGTTCCCCAGGCCATGGAGGGTGTCGGACGGCCACTGTGCTGCAGGGTCATCCTGGTCRCCCTGAGCCCTCTCTGCTGCCTGAGGAGGAGAGTCTGCTGGGTGACAGCCACTGCACCTGTCTGTCTGTTTCAGGGAACCACCAAAATCAACACCTTCAACTGGTCCAAGGTCCGTAAACTGAGCTTTAAGAGGAAACGGTTTCTTATCAAACTCCACCCGGAGGTCCATGTAAGTATTTTGAGCACTTTTTAAATTATTGAAAGATTTTTTAAAAAATACCTCGTAGATCCTTGCAGTGCCTTGCACACAGCATTGAAGGACAGGTGGGGCCTAGAGACATGAGGCCATCTGTCCCACAGGCCACACACCCCCCGGTTCCACCTGGGGCTTCAGACTCACTGCCCAAGGAGGCCTGAGAATGCACATGTCCAGGGCACCACTGCCTCATTCTGCAGGTGGCAAAGCCGAAGTCCACGTTGTCCAGAGTGAGCCAAAGGCTCCAGGGAAGCAGAGAACCTAGGGTCTCGCTAAGTTGCTAAGGCTGGCCTTGACTTGCAGTCCTCCTCCCTCAGCCTCCCGAGTCACTGGGATGACAGGCATGTGCCACCGTGCCTGGCTTCAGAGTAAGAACTTCTGTCCAGAGGAATCAAAGGGCAGCCCTGGTCTTGTCACATGCCTTTAAATCAGCAGCTGACCTCCGAMTAGCTCTGACTGAAGAACCCTTGATTTTCAGGAGATAAGTACTCCTTTCCTTAGAGTTCAGTCAGTAAAGGAACGATTCCATCTGAATTTAAAATGGAAAGAGCAAATATCTGTGCAGTCTGAGAGGTGAGGAAAGAGCACTGCTCAGAGTTGTCCAGATTGTCACGTTCCCGGGGTACTGAGGAAACTGGGGACAGAAGCAGACCAGCTGCACCCTCTGGGCTGAAGCCGGTTGCCCGCCAGGCCAGCTGAGGCACACTCTGAACCAGTCAGAAGAAGAGAGCCGYGGCCAGCAGGGCCTGGGGCTGAGTGGACATCCGCTGCGACGGAGCCTGAGGCYGATGGACTGTTGGGTGCTTGTGTAGCTCTCTAGCTGGGTGGTGCACGCCTGTCATCCCAGCTACTCAGGAAGCTAGGAGGACCCCAAGCTCAAGGCCAGCCTGCACAACTTAGCAAGGCCCTGTCTCAAAATAAATGGGAGAAGGGCTGGGGGGCAGTGCAGGGTGGGGCACTTGCCCTGCATGTGTGAGGCCCTGGGTTCCATCCCCAGCACTGGAAAACAGAACGCAAATAAAAGGCTATTTTTTCTTGTGAGTACACACCTGTTTCTTGCAGTTATTCTGAGAAGGTAGAGAAAGAAGATAATGACTTGCTCAGGTTACCAACGCAACTGTAATTGGAATAGCCTGGTGTTTCAAGGCCCAGAGCCATGTTGGTATCTGTACTTGGCAAAGTTACGTCTGCATCCCTCAGCACCTTGATTTTTAAGACTAAATAGAGGAGTTATTATGGTGCTTATGGACAGTAATTGTGTTCAGGCCTGGAATTTGGTTTCTGGGAATGTATCCTAAAGAACAGTTGTGAAGGAGAATGCAGTGGCTTCCCTATGGGACCCTGGCGTGGAGCGTCCCCRCGGTTCGGGTTTGGATGTGTGTTGTGCCTCGGGATGGGGGCAGGTGAGGTGCAGGGCTTTCTTCCACAGTGTCCACAGGGAAGATTCGCACTACGGCTTTCTCCACTGGACAAAGCCAGCAAAACTAGAAGCCTTTATATTCAATTTTTAGGGAAAAAAAACCTTCGTAATTTTTAATTTTGAAACTTCCTGATGTGTGATCTGCTTCCTGAATTTACCTTCTCTTGTCCAGTACCTTATCGTCAGGTTTGCTGCTTGAACTGCTTGCTGTGTTTTGTTCCCAGGGACCCTACCAGGACACGTTAGAATTCTTGTTGGGGAGCAGAGATGAGTGTAAGAACTTCTGGAAGATCTGTGTGGAGTACCACACCTTTTTTAGACTTCTTGACCAGCCCAAGCCAAAGGCAAAAGCTGTCTTCTTCAGCCGGGGCTCCTCCTTCCGATACAGGTAGGGCTGCCCTGGGCTGCAGGGTGGCCGGCCCCAGGTAGAGAGGGAGGTGGGCCGGGCAGACAGAACAGGCAGTGAGCAGCCACACGCAGGAGGTTCTCATGAGAGACGGTGACTGGACGGAGCTTATCAGCATAGTGGGACGGGGCGCCGCTCAGGGGCAGAGCGCTTGCCTAGCGCGTGCAAGGCCTGGGTGCGTCCCCAGCACCACAGATGAAAAGAAAACAGGCGTGACAGAAACATTGCCTGGAAGACCCGCACGCTTACTATAAAGTATGACTCCAAGATGTGCACACGCCTGTCCTCGAGCAAGGACAGAGGCCTGTGGTCACTGCTGGCTCTTTCTTGAGAACCCGAGCCTTTGTTCACAGTGGGAGAACTCAGAAGCAGCTGGCAGAGTACGTCCGAGACGGTGGGGTGAGGAGAACGCCATATGAAAGGTGAGCCCTGGGATCTCCAGGAGGTGAAGTCTGTGCTTTTAAAGTTAACATGTCAGGGGCCGAGGCTGGGGCTCAGTGGTAGGCACTGGGCTCAGTCCTCAGCACCACAAAAAAAATAAATTAAATAAAGGTATTGTGTACATCTGCAACTAAAAAAAAATATTTTTAAATTAATAGTTTTAATATTTATCTGAATAAAAGTCATTTCAAATTCACCAATTTTTTTTTCTCCCACTGGGGGTTGAACCCAGGGGTGCTTAAGCACTCAGCCACATCCCCAGMCATTTTTTATATTTTATTTAGAGACAGAGTCTCACTGAGTTCCTTAGGGCCTCACTAAGTTGCTGAGACGGGCTTTGAACTTTGGATCCTCCTGCCTCAGACTCCTGAGCTGCTGGGATGACAGGCTGGGTTGACAGGCGTGCGCACTGCACCCAGCTACAAATAGGTTTTTTGATGCTTGATTCCTGTTTCAGTTTCTGTAAAAAGGCAGCTTTGTAGTCCCTACAGCTGTCGTACCCGTGTACGTGCATGTGTGTATATAGAGAGGTGCTACATGTGGTTCCTCGTGTGCAGAGCTGAGCTGACGTRGAGCGGTTTACACAGCGCAGTGACTCAGATCTGAAAACCCGTGGGAGAGGCCTCATGACCCCCCCTCCTGGGGGTGCTGTTTTGCTTTGATTCTCCTTCCTTGTATCCTGCCCACTTCTTGTTAAGTGCCAGTCTGAGCTTCATGCCCACTGAGCTGTTCTTGCCTTCTTTCTTTCTGTGTGGGGGATTGGACCAGGTCTTGATGCCCTCCTCACGCCTGGCATGTCTCTCCGCTGAGCTGCTGCTCTGTGGGAGCTGCTGCTCTGTGGGAGCTGCCCTGCTGTGGGAGCAGGCCTGGGAGGGGAGGCTACTCACTGCCCATTCTGTTTGCAGATGGCACAGCAAGACCCAGGCATCCCTCCGTGCTCTGACTGCAGACCTGCCAAAACAGGTTAGTCGTCCCTGGCCAAAACCTGGGGCCTGCCTCTACCCTCTGGAAAACCACCTGCGTAGCCAGAAGCTCAGGTCGTCACAGTGGTTGGCCCTGCAGCTCCAGCCCTGGGACTCTTCAGCCAGGGGTGGCCCCGCCTGGAGCTCTGCCACTCAGTGTCCTTCCCACTGGGACCCTGCACAGCCCTTGGTGGCTTCCCAGCCCAGGTTTAGTTGTCGTGCAGGCATGCACAGACACCTCCCAGAAGGATGTGGCWGGGACGTCCCAAGGAGCAGCAGCTGCTGCTCCATCCCCTGCTTGAGGACAGTGTGATGGTGTGTCTGGGTGTTGATTTCTGCATGCATTGAAGGGCTGCACGTGGAGCCCTGCTCCTTCCAGGGGGTCCTGAGTGTGCCTGCCCAAGCTGCCCGCGGCTGGCCTGTGGCTGACTCTAAGCGGGGTTGTCGGCAGCCGCGTGTGCACCTGTGTCTTGAGGCTCTGCTCAAAYGCTGCTCCACATCCATGCCTCTGCTCTTCCAGGTGTCTCCCTCTGGAAACTCCTGTTACATCAGTTGGATTTAAAAAGGAATGTTTTTAATTGTTACTTTATAAAGTTTGAATTTAATTTCAAGTGTGAACAGTCTAAAATGACATTCAAGCTTTGAGTTCTCTTAAGAACCAAGAGAATATTGAATGTGGTTGAATGATTAAGAGGAGGGAAGGATGAGCCAGGTGCGGCCCACGCCTGTCATCCCAGCAGTTCAGGAGGCTGAGGCAGGAGGATCGCAAGTCCAAAGCCAGCCTCAGTGATYTATCAAGGTCTAAGCACTTAGCCATTTAACCACCAAGCCACATCCCAGGCCTTTTATTTAGAGACAGGCTCTGGGATGTGGCTCAGTGGTCAAGCTCCCCCTGAGTTCAATCCAAACTAAAAAAAAAAAAAAAGAAAGGTGGCTTGATAGGCACTGGGAGACAGACTGATCTCATGGACATGCCTGCTCCGTGTCACAGCACAGGCACACTGTGTGCTCGTCGTGTCCTCCAGGGGACATGTGCATGTATGGCCACAAAAGCAGATGGGTCAGGGCAGCTCACAGGAGCACGCTGGCCACTGCAGGCTGGAGAGCCACAGGGGCCAGTGATGTGGAGTCCAGGCCTGAAGGCCTAGAGGCTCCCTAGAAAAGGACTGGTGAGAGGGCAGCTGGAGCCCAGGACCCGGGCAGAGCAGCAGCAGTGGCTTGAACCCCCTGGGCTCACTCTTCCTGCCTGTTGGACAGTGCTGCCCACATTCAGGGAGGTGCCAGGCCTCCAGGGAAACACCCTCCTGTGCTGCCCGTCCCGAGTGCCCCCGGTGTGGCTGCACCTCCCAGCCTGGCACACACTGCACGGTCCACCTCCTGACTGACCACTCTCCTTCCAGCCTCCCACGCTGGGCTGTGCCTGTACTGGAGTGAGGGTTTTCTCCAAGCACAATTGCAGCTCAGGGTGGCGAGCTGAGTGACATGAGAAGAGGAAGCAGCRTGCCAGGGGCAGCATGGCCATCCCTCCATCGCCCCTGTGGCCATCCTCACCCTGCTTGTGGGCCACTYCCCACTTGTGCGGGAGCCATGGCTTCGGGATGCCCAGGTCCCTCTGCCCTGGTGGGGGCAGGATGCCTTCCTGACCGGGGCCCTCAGCCTTGTGGTGTGTGGGWGGACTGAGGGGAAGTCCCCTCCTGGACTGTGGACTTGGACTGGCCACCTGGTGTCACACTGTGCCAGTGGCACTGCTGGCCGAGTGGCACCATGAGCTGTGAGCACCAGACCCTTGTGCTGGCAGCCTCAGGTGATGAGGGTCCCCACGCCACAGAGGGGTACTCACWGCGTGACATAGATGTCACATGTCACGAGAGACAAAGGGGGATTATGAGGGACCATGAGCAGGTGATGGTGAGTCTRCATCACCCCTGCTCTGTGCTAAGCGGCAGGTGTGACCGGTCGCCCTTCCCATAGAACGGTGAGAAGTGCGTGGGTATCCCAAGCAGGGCCCAGCTGGCTTTGCCACTTCTAACTGTGACTGGTAATTTCATGTGCTCCTTTTTGTTTTCTCGATTTTGATCTGCAGAGCATCTCATTGGCCGAGGGCTTGAAGACTTCTGCCTCCCTGTCTCCAGCAAATGTCTCCTGGGGTCCATTCCCCTCCTCCCCGGGGTCCCCTCCTGGCCTGCCCAGCTTCAAGGACAGCAGCAGCCCCCTTATAGACCCCCCAGCTCCCGATGCCAAACGTGCAGCCTCTGAGCGGAGCCGCAGAGCAGCAGCTGGAGGCCCCGGCCTACCCTCAGCCCCCCCGCCCGGGCCCCCCGAGCCCCAGCTGGTTCCAGGTGTGGGGCTCTGTCGTGTGGTGGGCGGCCGTGGCTCTGTCTGCCCTGTGGGGTGGAGTCTCAGTGCCGTGGACCCAGGTGCAGGGAGGGCCAGGGCTGGGCTYAGAGCCACTGGTGGTAATGGTAGTGCTGGGGACGCCTTTCCCACAGGCTCACTCCTGTCCTTGGGGGAGGACCCGTGTGGCCAGCAGTGCCGTGGGGCAGGCCCCGTGTTCACATTGACAAACGCGCAGCTACAGGTGTCTGAGGAGTTCATAGACGACGACCCCACAGACATCTCTTTCTTTGCTGGAGGCTCTGAGGCCTTTTCCTTCCCGCCTAGCTCTGTAGTCCCTCAGGAGCCCCAGGTCCCTGCCCAGCCCCCTGCACCTGTGTCCTTCCAGCACCTACCGTCTGCTGGGTCCAGCCCAAACAGCCTGTCTGCCGAGGCARTAGATGCGAGCGTGGAAGACAGTTTGGAGTTTGGAGAAGGGAGTGATCTCAGTGGCACTTCGGATGCTGCAGAGCTGCTTGGAGTGCAGGTGCGTGCCTGCCTCCCACAGAGCCGGGGGCGCCCCACGGAGACCAGCTCCCTCAGCGACACGCCTGGTGTGCTGTCCTTGCACACGGCCAGCTCGGCCAGCCAGTCCGAGGCCAGCTCCATGGTTAACTTCCCAGCCTGCTCAGTCCGCTCCGAGTCCAGCTCGGCCTTCCAGTTCTCTGACATCATCGACCAGTTAGAGCAGCTCAGCTACCCGCCCACAGCGGCCGAGGACTCCAGCAGCACAGACTCGAGCTCATGGGACTCTGAGGCAGAGGCCCCCCTGGACATGAGCCTCTTTTTCAGCAACCCTTTTGCACAGACCCGTGGGGAGAGAGTCCCTTTTGAGGTGCAGAACAACTTAAAGAGCCTGACTGCAGGAGAGCAGATAGATAGAAACCCACCTGGGCCTCTGTAGACCCCTGCACAGGGAGGCCCGGCTCCCCCGCCCCCCATGTGGGTGGGGCTCAGACACAGGAGTGGTGGACTGGATGTTAGATGTCCCGTTTTGGGTTTTCCCCCTAATTCCTGATTTGTTGTACTCTGACATGTCGGAGACGCACAGCTCCCCCCTCCCCCCCAGCACCGATGGTGAAAGCTAGGCACCAGTTTAAAAAGACGAGCGCCTGGTTTAGCCTCCGTGGATTTGGGGTCTTGGGTTTTGAGTGCTCTTGGCTCAAGTCGAAGCTGGTGCTACACCCTTGAAGGTCACGCAGTTCTGATTCATGATGGCCCTTGGTGGACTGTGGTACCCCTGTGAATGCTGCCGGACCCCGACCTTGGAAAAGGTGGGTGGAGACCACAGCCTCCCACATGCCAGGGGCGTCCTGGAGACTGTCCCAGTGCCAAGACTTGAGACCAGACAGTGCTGTGGTTGGATAGAGGCCTGCAGGGACACTGGTTTAGAATGTCCTCTTGTGTTGGTCTTCTTTGGGGGGGGACAGAGGACATGGCTGCAGCAAGGAGAAGCCGTGAGACCTGAGGGTCATAGTGCAGGTGTGCTGGGAGGCACGCTCTGGACAGGAGGGACAGGCTCAGGTGGGCCTGCTCGGGGGACGCTTGTCTAGCACACGTGAGGCCCTGGCTTCCATCCCCAGCACCAAACTCAGATAAGGAGATGCAGGGACGCCCCGACACATGGGGCTTGGCCTCACTCTTCCCACAACAGCAGCCACAGTGTCCCAGGCAATGGTCTCAGCAGCCCTGCGGGCTGCCGGAGGGCACCCCAGTGCAYACCACTGTGAAGGCCAGGGCTGGTGCGTCCCTCAGTGGGCTCCGGAGAACCCCCTGCCGTGCACCCCGTCGCCAGCCCTACGTGGGCAGCGTGGAGGAGGTCCAGTCCACAGCTGGGGGGCTGCATCTTGGGGTTGTTAGCAGTGGGTATCCTTTCTGATCCTACCTAAGTTTCTGATTTTTCTGCAAATGTTCCATGGAAACTTGGGACGATCGTGTTCCACGTGTGGGAGCCCCTAGTCCTCTGCCTGGGTGGTCGACTGTTTTTGCAGAGACACATTTCTGGCATCTGCAGGCTGTCGGGTGTCTTGACTGAGTSGGTCTTGCGGTCCTAGGCCATGCTGGACAGGCCCTAGCCAGGAGCAGCTTCCTCGGACCTGGCCTGGCCGTCAGCTTTACCCRTCCACTTGGCTGGAGCTTGCAGTGTGGGGCTCCAGCTTACTCTGCCCCCTTGGGGTCAGCTGTCTGGGTGACACTCTGAGGCTGGGTGTGGCTTCCCGTGTGGACGACTACAGGTCTGCAGCCAGGCACTACTTAGAACAAGAGTGTTCAGGACAACTGCTTTTTCCCCAGTGTGTGGCTCAAAGATAGGCCCTGAGTGTGTGCAGTAGGGAAGAATTCACACATACGGCATTCAGAGTTCCTCCTCAACCTCCGTGCTCACAGGAGGCTGCCGGCCGCCTCTCCTCTTGGTCAGTTGCCTGACAGATGTGCGCCTTGGTGCTGACGGGACACAGGTTGTCTTTCCCTTCTCTCTGTGGAGCCTGCCCTGGTGGCTGCAGCAGGTCAGATGTGGTGGGTGTGGGCCAGTCCTGCCACCAGGCCCGGGGCTGCCCTGTGCGGGCAGCAGGGCCACCGCCAGGCCAGCCCTCTCCAGAGAGCTCTCAGCTGCTCTCCAGGCCTCCTGGGAAGTAGGCTCACTGTTGGGTTTGTCTTCTGTTAAGGAGCCGATTTTCTGGAGATAGTTTCTTAGTTAGGAAGTTTTCAAAATATACAAAAGCAGGAGGTGGCTCGTGGCACTGCTGACTCTTGGCCGTGCTTCCCTCCCTCCTCGGTGTCGTCCCTGTYGCGCTCTAGAGAAGACCCTTGTCTGGCAGTGTAGCTCAGTGGTGGAGCGCCTGCCTGGCATGCACCCGTCTGAATCCCCAGGGCAGGAAAAGAAGTAGGAAGAGGAGGAGACAGTCCCTGGTGTGCTGCGGACCTTCCTTAGGATTCCTGYGTGCGACTCTGAAAGAGGACAGTTGCCCACATGACCACACACAGCATCTCCACCTAAAATGCCTGTTAGCCTTTAATTGGTTCTAACCAGTATCCAAACAGGATCTGCTTGCTGCATCTGGCTGTTAGGTTCCCGGTGCCTTGTGGGAAAGGCCAGTGGTTCTTCTGTGGTCTGCAGCCTGGACCAGCCCCCTGGTGGCTGGACAGGGCACTGTGCCGACCAGAACCGTTCCCCAGTGCCCAGGCCCTGTGTGCACAGCACTGGTGGGTGTGGCTCTCAGAACTGAGTCCTGAACCCTGTGGGTTAGCAGTATCTGAGACGCTGAGCCTGCTGCAGCTTTTCCTGCAGAGGGCAGCCCTGTGTGCCTTGCTGGGTGGCCTTCCGAGCTCCCGCCACGCCCTCCCACAGAGCCCAGGACAGAACCCCCGTGGCACACACTGCTCTGGACAGCACGGCTGTGCTCCCTTGAACACTCAGGTGGGCCTGTGGCCTGGAGTCGCGCCCGGAGCCGGCTCATTGCGCACAGGTGGAAGTACCTTCCTCTTGGCAGTTCCTGGCCCATGGGCTTCTTTGGGCACATGCAGAGCCTCAAAGTGGGATAGCTGTCAGGTCCCACCTGCAGCCACAGAGGCACCTGCCAAGGGCTGTCCTGGCATTTCCCAGGAGGCCCGGGGCAGGCACCGTCACAGCCGGAGCATCTATGCAGAAAGGCATGACCCTCGGGTCCCTGTCAGCAGGCAGTGCCCCCCTGCCTGCGAGTCCTCCCCCCACGGTACACTTTGCTTCCGGTGGAAAGTCCATGTTGTCAGTCACCGAGTCTTCRTATCTGCGTCTCCGAAGTCCAGATGCTCCGTGTGAGCCAACTTACTTTCCAGTCCAACAGCAGTGACCTGTGGACGCCACCAGCTGCGCTGGAAACCTGCCGTGGTATGTGCTGTGTGGCCTCACGTCACAGATACTGGTGTGTGCCCTCTTAGGTCACAGAGGAACTCTCTTAGGGTTAGGGCCAGGGTCCCCTGCTCCAGTCAACACCGTGCTGTCCAGAGCGCTCACACAGGGTGGCACCCAGGGGAACCCTGTGCAGAGCCTCTAGCCTGCTGCTGTGGCCCGACTCCCTCCTGGGCCGGGGTCACTCCTGCACTGCCACTGTACCAGTACTCTGCTGTCCAATGTGGCTGCTCACTGCTCTGCAGCCCCAAGGGCGGCCCTGAGGCCCCCTGTGTGCTGACAGGGCCCTCAAATGCCTCTCCATGTGCCTTTGATGCTGACATGCAGTGTCTGCCCCGCTCGTGGGACATTAGAAATGAGACCCACCACAGGACAGTCACTTCACAGAACCACCAATGTCCTTGAGGACGTGGGCTCGGAGCTGGCTCTTGCTTTGGGGGCCATAATCTCCTCTGCTCTGCCCTCACTGTGGCACTGGGCTGGGCTGTGGGCAYGGAAGACGCCACCCGCCCTCCCTGCAGGGTCCCACAGGCCCCTCCTCTGGCTCCCGAGCCTTCACATTCCCCTTGGAGACGAGAGGAAGGAGCCAGAATCCCTTTGTGCACTTGGAYCGTTCACTCTTTAAAGAGAACTTCTGTTGTCTGGTTTGTGGTACTTATAAAATCYCTTTTCCGTTGACATTGCCATTTATAAATTTATAGATATGTACTAATTAAGAACTTAAAATTGTTCATTCAATAAAACAAGGAAATATTTACTACGGATTTTAAAATGGGCTTTTTAGCTTCCTCTCCGCTAATCAGAATTTTGATCTGTAGGAGTTAAAGACCTTCCATGTTAAGTTAGGATTAGAACAGCTGCGCGTTTCCACCACCTGACGATGTCTCCTTCCACCCTGGGCTGCAGAGCACCGAGCGGCACCCTGGCTGCTCTCTCTGAGTGCCTTCTGCTCTGGCCCGCCCTAGGCTTGGCCCCTGTGAAGGGGTGGGCACAGGAAGCTGTGGTCTGCTGAGCCCCACCCCACACTCCAGGTCCGTGAGCACCACAGAGGCACACGTCCTGCACAGAGTGTGCTGACCC